GAGCGCCGCGGCGGCGGAGTTGCAGCCCCGCTCCGCCCGGGCCCTCGCTGCCTTTCGCTCTTCTGTTTATTTCGGTGGGCGCTGCTGAGGCGGCGGCTTTTTATTCCCCCCCTCCCCCTCTTTTTCTTCCCTCCCTCCCCCGGCCTCTCTCCTTCTCCCCGCCCGCACTGGCGGCTCCTCTCCCAACGCCGCCTTCACCCGCCGCCCGGCCGCTCTCCCGGCTCCCGCTCATTGGCCCGAGCCGCCCCGTCCATCCGGGCGCCCCCGGCCACCGGCTAATGGCGGAGCGGCCGCCCCGAGCCCTGCCCGCCCCAGCGCCCGCCCCGCGCCCCGCCCGCACGGGCCCGCTCGGCGCCGGCGGCCGCCTTCAGCCCCGCACTGCCGGTGGCTTCTTGATTTTTTGGGGGAGTCACCCCCCCCCCCAGACCGTCTCCCCCGCGGCGAGGGGAAGGGGTGGCGCGGGGAGAGGCGCGCCGATCTCGGAAAATATCGATGTACGCTTTGGCATGTGATCCTGCCTCGGGAGGCAAACAAACAAAGCGAGGGGCTTAAAATATAACCCCCGCAGCCCCTTTCCTCATTTCGGCTAAAGCAGATGAAGCCCGTGATCGATAAAGGGAGCGAGGGGGGAATCAAATAAAAGTCACGTTGAAGGGGCGAGGGTGGCTGGGACCAAAAAACCCAAATCAAATAAAAATTAAAACATAAGACGGAACCGTCGCCCTGGCTGTTTGGGCTTTTAAACCACTTATGTGGGAGCAGAGAAGTCGATCTGCGATCTGCATGTGTTGTGAATGTGTATCTGAGAGCAGATGCTTTAGGAGTTTTCCTTTTCTTTTCTCTTTCTTGAATAAAGAAACAAAAACAAACCCGAAAAAAAAATCCCTACCCAAAACCCCACCCTGCCATTGTTATTTGGAAACCGGATTCTTACATGGCAGGAATAAAAAGCATAAAGCCGGCACACACACACACACACACACACACACACACAGCAAACAAGTCCCCTTCCCCTCCCCCTCCAGTAAATACACGTCTGGCCCCTGATTCGGTTTGTTTTGTAGTGGCTGAAAAATAATCATCTCGAGGCCAGCAGCTCACCAATAAATAAGGCTTTGTAAAAATCAAAGCCTGGCATAACGTTTGCAGTCTCAACCGCCCTGCACGAAACCTTGCGTCTGTGTACCCATCAGTTCTCTGCTTGGCAGAGAAGCAGCCCAAAATATAAGGGTTTGTGTGGTTTGGAGGGTCTTTTTGAAATTCTCCCTTCGACATTCTTCCTATGACTCCTCATGGCATTAAATCCCACATCAGACACAGGCAGGCTCAAACCTGGACCCACAGCGTCCAAGGGAGAGATGATGGATGGATGGATGGATGGATGGATGGATGGATGGATGGATGGATGGATGGATGGATGGAAAGCAGGAAGGAAGGAAGGCAGGCAAAGGTAACGCTGCCTACCAACCAAGGTCTTTCCCATCATTGTCACTAAATGGTTAAAATATTTCCAAGACTGTCCGAAAGTGTTTGAAATGTGCCGGTACCGGACATTAGTCTTTGAACAAGGCGAGGATTTAAACTGGGAAGAAGTGGGATTCCTTCTAATCGGAAATGGGCAATGGAGATAAACCGAATATTAATGCAGAGCTGCACCTCTGATGCCAACAGCCTTTTTCTCTTTGCTCGCTGTCATTTCTGTCCTGCCTTTGCAGGCAGGAGTGTCTGCTCCCCAGATCTTGCCTTTCCAGGCTGTAGCTTGGGAGCATATGCTGTCCTTGTCCTGACCCCCCAGGCTCCCAGGAACAGACTACGAACAAATTCTATTTTCCTTCTCTGAAAAGATTTCGAGGCGGAGGTCTGAGCGCAGTCATTCACCGTTGCTGGGGATTTTGAGAGCCCAAGCTGAAGAGGAAATCTTGGTCTCCTGCATCGTCTGCCTCCAGATTAGTGAAAAAAATCACACAGAAAACTAGACGTTCGCATACACTCCCCCCCCCCGCCTCGATTTAAAATAATTTACTACATCTAAGATTAGTAAAAGAATAAATATGTGCAAGAAAACTGGCAGTTCAAAACAGTTTTGGGGAAAAAAATAATAGCAAAGGTGAATATTCATACAAATATCTTCTTTCTCTTTCTTTCTTTCTTTCTTTCTTTCTTTCTTTCTTTCTTTCTTTCTTTCTTTCTTTCTCTCTTTCTTTCTTTCTTTCTCTCTTTCTCTCTTTCTCTCTTTCTCTCTTTCTCTCTTTCTCTCTTTCTCTCTTTCCTTCTCTCTTTCCTTCTTTCCCTCTTTCTCTCTTCCTCTATTTCTCTATTTCTCTATTCCTTCCTTCCTTCCTTCCTTCCTTCCTTCCTTCCTTCCTTCCTTCCTTCCTTCCTCCCTTCCTTTCTTTTCCTTTCTTTTCCTTTCTTTTCCTTTCTTTTCCTTTCTTTTCCTTTCTCTGTTATTCATTTTTTTCACTTCCTTTATCATTTAGTCTCCTTTTTCTTTCTTCTCCTTACCTTATTTTTCTGCATTTCCTGCCTTCCCTCCCCTCGCCCCTGGCTCTGCCTGCTCAGCGGTGCCGGCATCGGGGCTCTTTCGGGCGGACGCAGTGAATTCCATCCGGAGCCCCCGCTGGCTGGCCGCTCTCTGCTATTCTTTCAGGGCTCCAGCCCTACTCTCTCTGCAGGAAACAGAGGAGCTGATCCAAGTTCAAAGTCACGTCGCCGTCCCTCCTAAGAAGTGCTTTATTTGCCTCTGAACCGCAAAACCCCTTTCCCCCGTGTCACAGGGTAACAAGGGAAGGGAGCGAGGGAGGAAGGGAAGGAGGGAGGGGGGCAGAGGCACCGGCAGCCAGCCCCGCACTCCCTTGTCGGGCCAGCGCCAGGAGCACAGCCTGCGGCTCATGGCAGCTTTCGGGGAGGAAAGCGAGTGGTCACCCCAAGTCGGTGGTAAACTGTTTTATTGAAGGAAGTTTTTCAACAGGTTTCTGGAGGTGCCAGACCTACAGAGCAAACGTCAGCTTCCCCGGGAAAGCTTTCCCTTCTTTGTAAGTTTTCCTTAATTCGCTTTAAAACTGCTCTTCTCTTGTTCTTACGGGCTGGTGATGCGAAGGGAGCTGGAGAGGGGTGTGGAGGGGGGAAGGCGGGACGAGGGGAGAGCAATTTCTTGTTTCCCCTGAACTGCATATATCGCCTTCTCCTTCTAACCCTTTCCCGAGAGGTGTCACCGCCCTCCGGGGAGGCTCCGCGCCCCCTTTCTGCATGCCCCCTCCCCGGCAGCCATGGGTGCTGCAGTGGGGGGCAGGCTGCGGTGGGGCGGGGGCTCTGCCCGTGCGAGGATGCGGCTGGCCACGGCCTCGTCGGGAAAAAGAGGCGGAAGGACCCACCGGAGAGGGGTGTGTGCATGTGAGAGAGAGAGAGAGAAAGGGGGAAGAGGGGAAAGTTCCCCCAAAATTCAGCCTTCCAACGCAGCAAGGGGACGAGGAGGGAGAGTGTGGCCGGCCCATAGCCTGGTGAGAAGAGGCCAGTTGAGCAGCATCACTTGCACCGTTGTCTGTATCACAGACACTCATAAATTCAACAAGCTCATCAACAGGATATTAAGTTGCAGGTTACCTTTGATGGTGCCGATCCGAGCCACTTCTAGGCCGTTCGACCTATGACCCGTGAAGACCACATGTGTTGTCCTCTAGCCTCCCTCTGTAAAACACACACTTCGAGACAAAAGTTCTTTGTCAGGCTCTACCGGCAGAGTAATGTAAAAGAAATAGGGGAAATAATGAAAATCTCAGCCAAAGCTGTAACTTTTAAATGCTTTTTTTTAAACTAAAAAAAAAAAAAGAAAGAAAAAAAAGGAAAGAAAATACACTAGGCAGGGACAGAAGGAAGGAGCACCTCACTTTCGTGCCATTAATATTTATTGTTCATTCGGTTGCACTTATATATTTATAAAACCCCGCTCTCGGCGGTAATGCCGTGAGACAGCGGGGGCCAGGAGCAGTGTAGCACTTTTTTCCAGGACGGGAACCTCGGCCGAGCGGAGCCGGTGCCTCTGCCCTGCCCTGCCCTGCCCAGCTGCGGCTGAGGGACGCGCAGCGCTGCGTATGTTGCGCGCCCTGCCCCACTGCGCCGCTCATTCTGCAGGCAGCACGGACCCGGCACAACGCCCCCCAAAACGGGTCTGCCGCAGCACTGCCGGGTTTCATTAGATGCACCTTTTTCCATCTGGAGATGCCCATATAAACGTTAGAGGCAGGGGAGCAGCGTCCCAATAAAGCGCGATGGACTTTGTAATACAATTTATGCTGTCATTCATAAATAACAATGCCATATGGTAACCATATTGCTTATACAAGTAAAGCCGTCAAAGTGTCACTATTTGATTTATCTCAACAGCTTCTTCCAACGGTGACGTTCAGAGAGAGGGGAAGTGGGAAAGAGAGAGAGAGAGCAGAGCAAAATTTGGCCTGGGTTTCCTGAGACCGCCTCTCTCTTTACCTCTTTCTTTCTATATATGGATAGATAGATAGATAGATAGATAGATAGATAGATAGATAGATAGATAGATAGATAGAAGGAAGGAAGGAATTTTTCCCCCCTTATTTTGTCCCTAACTGAGCAAACCCCAAAGGGGATGGCCCCTCTGTCCCTGGCGATGCGCGCACTGAACACAACAGTTCCAAAACGTATCCTGGTAAATCCCTGTCCCAAAGGTGAGGCGGCTCCCTGTCCCGACAGCCCCTAGCCCCGGATCCTTGTGTCAGCCCCAGGCTGCAGCCTGGACGCACGGAGCAACGACAGGAGAAATTTAATTTTTAAGAGTGTGTGTTGTCCATCCGCTGAGCCCCTCCATAAAGAAGGGATGGGGAGTCTCACTGCCATATCGCTACTGTCCCTTTGGTGCCTCTCGGCCGAGGTGCCCTCCGTGCTATCCCCCAGACGGGACAGTGAGCGGGGTGCCGTGGCTCCGTCCCGCCCGGGCGGTCTCCGCGGGGCTGCGGCTCGGGGCGCTCCCTCCTGCCACGGGCGGACTCCACCTCCGATGCCGCATGTTCGGGGAGGGACCCGCGCCGCAGAGCAGCCCCACGAGCGCAGAAAGGCACCCGCGACGGGTCGGGAGGAGGGCAGGCTTTTCTAGAGTTTTTGGGGAGTCTTGCAGGTCTTCCCGGGGAAAGCGGCAGTCTAAAGCGCTCCCTTTCTAATGGTCCCCCAGAAGAATGTTTTACACCTTATAAAATATTGCTCCCCGCTCCCTAACTATCAATAAGACGTGCATTAAAGACGATTGTTTGTAAATGGTGTTCATGATCATTAGCATACATTTACATAATGCAGCTCACAGCACAGCGTTTTACGGTTAAACACCTCCTAAAGCCCGAGCTCAGTTTATAGACGAAGCTTTACGAAATAAATTTGAAGGCTTCCAGGCTTTCACCCCGCCTCTGCAGCCTCCCCCGATGTCCCTTGGCAGGGCTGCCGGCGAGCGGAGCGCTGCGGGAGGGCTCTGCAGCGGCTCCGCCGCGGGAGCAGGGCGCGTTCCGACCCCCGACGGGCGCTGTCGGGCTTGTGGGGGGCTGTGGGGTAGCACAGCACGCCTCCCCTCTGCTGCAGCCCGGGGGCAGCGGCAGCCTGGGCCTGAGCTGGTGTCGGTGAGCTAACGGGCTTTAAATTCTTCATGGCTCTTTTGGAGCTGGCAGCGTCCAAAATTATCCCTGCACGGGCAGTCACCTTCTCTGCCCGGCGTTTGCAGCCAGTCCTAAAAATGAGCGAATTTCCACGTGAGTCTCCATCAACCCCTCCCTCCCCACAGTCGCGGGTCAGCTGCCTATTAGCCAGCTATAAAATAATTCAATTTTTTTATAGCCTCTCATAAAAAGAAATTGATCGGGGTATATATTTGAATTAAGACATATTAAATCGATGACAGATACACATCACCTGCGTTTAACAGGCGAGGGACAAGGAGGCATGCAGAAGGTTCCGCGGAGCTGTGATACTTGTTGTTCACCTCCACAGCATCTCCCATCAAACCATTCCATCTGTGGACCTTGCTCCAGAGATGCACCCGGAATTTGGGGAGGAGGGAGGGCACTATTTGGATGGACATGTAGAAAATACGTGTCTATAAATACCCGTACAGACGTATGGCTACTTTGCGTGAAGTTTTTACTGTGCAATAAAACCATCGAGCAGCCGCTTTTAAAACCCGGGGATCATTTATTCCCATTCCTTGCCTTGCAGCATCACTGAAACCCCCACGGCGGCCACACGAGCCGGGAGCACTGGCTCGTCTCCGGTGGGGGGAGAGAAGGAAGGGAACCGGCGGGTCTCTCTCCCCCTTGAGCTCCCCCTAGAGCCTCTCACCCCGCTTTTGGCAGCCGTGGGCCAAATCCTGCGAGTTTCCCCCCGCGAGTAGCGGCGGGAGAGGCAGAGGAGGGGGAGCCTGGAGCCTGGCCCAGGAAATGCCGGACCAGCACGGGGCTTCCTTTGAACTGGCTTGGCACAGGGAAGCGGCCAAGGCGCACAGATGTAGTTTCCTCAAGGGGATTATGTGGCCGGGGAGAGCCGAGGTGCGTGTGGGTCCGCTGGCGTCCCCCGCCCCGTTTCCTCTCCTGGAGAGGCGGAGAAGCTTCTCTGGCTATCCCGCAGGCAGGGAAAGGGCACAGCCAGCTTGCCTGCACTTCCCGGGAGCGCGGGGCTCAAGGCATTCCCAGGGGGACCAAAAGCCTGGAGAAAGCAGATGACATATCAGTGAAAGCTACTTCTCCTCCCAGAGAAAAGTCACGACAATGCTCCTTTCCCCTTTTGGCTCGCAGGGAAATCCCGGCCTTGCCTACTCAACCCCCTCAAAGGGCAGCATCCTTTGTACCGACGGGCCACTTTCGGCGCTCCACAAAGCGCTTCGCTTTCGAGGACCAGCACACCCCGCACCCCAGGGGCGGTCCCATCACTGTCCCCGCCCGTCCTCTACCTCTGCCCCCTTTCAGGAGAGCTCCCACTTCTCCTGCCTTTTCCTCTGGGGCAGCAGCTCAGGGCCAACACACACCGGCCGGAGACCCTCATTTCCCAACCCACCTTCCGACATCCTAAAGAGTCGAGGAGCATTTATGCTCGGGGCCAGTGTCGCTGCGGGGGTTTCATCTCTGTTTCGCCGCTGCTGAGCTCGGGCTGAAGGGGATGCAGCTGCCTGGACTGCGGCTGGCGGGCCCCCAGGGGCGTGGGGGGGCTCTCCCCACGGGATGCCCCGGGAAGGAGGAAGCCCCAAAGCGGCAGCGAGCGCAGGCTCCCAAAACTTGGATCTACATGTGCCACTTGCCCCCCTCCTCCTCCCCTCCCCGCTTACTCGTTTATTTTCTAAAGGAAAGGAATCCCAACCCCCGCCGTCTTCTTTTCAGGGAAACTTGGCCGCCTTCTCCTAGTGGTGCCTTGGGCATGAGTACACACAGGCTCGGCCTCGCGTGGGTGTGGGGCTGCGCGCATTGTTGCATGAGGGAGCGCTTTCCCGCCTCATCCATGAATGAACGTGGCCCTCCAAAAAAATAAAAACAGATAAGGAAACCGAGCGCGGAGCCGTGTGGGCTGCCGCCAGGCGAGGAGAGAAACCCCACGGCCCCGCAGAGGCAAACACGGCGGAGCACCTGAGCAGGGCGCCCCGTCCGGTGCCTGGGGAGCGGGGGCAGCCGCTGCCCGGTGCTGCCCGGTGCTGCCCGGTGCTGTCCCGGTGCTGTCCCGGTTCTGCCGGGGCGGATCCCCGCGGCGCCGCCGGCCTGAAAGGGAGCCAATCGCGGGGCCCCGGCCGCTGCCAATCATCGCCGTCCGTCCAATCCCTCCGGCGCGGTGTCCGAGCCGTATTCCCCAGCGCGCCGCCGAAGTGTGGTGAGCGCTCTGCCAATCGCGGGCGGGCAGAGCGGGGCCGGGGATGCGCGGGGCTCGGAGCGCAGACAAAAGAAGTTAAAGAGCCGCTTAATATATACATGTTTTTGAAGGCGGGTAAAGGGAAAAAAATAACAACAGCGAGCGTAGATGGGCTCGGCTGTGTCGTTATGGAGCCCCCTTTGAGCAAGAGGAACCCGACACTGAGATTAGCGGATTTGGCAGCGGCTCAGCCCCATCCTCACCAGAACATGACAGGCTTCCCGGGGCTGGGGAACCACCACGTCCACCCCCACCACGCGGCCCACCTCCACCCCGGGGACGCGGGCGGCGACCCCGGCGGCGCCCTCACGCCGCTCGGACCCGAGCACATGGCACAGCCCGCCGCCCTCAAGCTCACGCCCGAGGCGCTCACCGCCGCCGCCTTCGCCGCGCCCGCCGCCACCACCACCACGGCCGCCACCCGCCGCTCAACGGGCAGATGCGCCTGGGGCTGGCGGCCGCCGCCGGGGAGCTCTACGGGCGCGCCGAGGCGCACTACGGGGCCGCCGCCGCCTCCTCCTCCTCCTCCTCGGCGTTGCAAGGCTACGGCTCCGTCAACCTCAACCTGGCGGCGGCCGGCCACGGGCACCCGCACCACCCCCATCCCCACCACCACCACCATCACCACCACCACCACCATGCCCACGTCGGGGCCGCGGCGGCGGCGGCGGCGGCTGGGGCCTTCCTGCGATACATGCGACAGCCCATCAAGCAAGAGCTGATCTGCAAGTGGATCGACCGGGAGCCGCCTCCTCCGCCTCCGCCGCCGCCACCGGGCGGTAGGAAGCCTTGCTCCAAAACTTTCAGCACGATGCAGGAGCTGGTGAGCCATGTCACCGTGGAGCACGTCGGTGGGCCCGAGCAGAGCAGCCACGTGTGCTACTGGGAGGAGTGTCCCCGTGAAGGCAAGCCCTTCAAAGCGAAATACAAACTCATCAACCACATCCGAGTACACACGGGAGAGAAACCCTTCCCTTGCCCCTTCCCCGGCTGCGGGAAGGTCTTCGCTCGCTCCGAAAACCTCAAGATCCACAAGCGGACTCATACAGGTGGGTTGTTCTTCACGCCACCCCCCCCCACCCCCACCCCCGCAAGGGTTTCCTTCCCCCCCCCCCGCAAGGGTTTCCTTCCTTTTTTTTTTTTTTCCTCCCCTTTCCTCCTCTTTTCCTCCTCTCCTACGCACCGCCGAACATGTGACTTTTTCATGAATAAGTAATTCGGCAGCACACGGGCCACGCACACACAGCTACGTACACGCACCCGGCCCCTCTGCCCTGCACACACGTGTCGTGTCCCCCCCCTTCAGCCCCCCCTTCACCTTGGGCCGCTCCCTCCGCACCCCCACCCCCTCCGCTACCCACCTCCCCGCATCCCGGCAGCACCGGATAAATACACCGATTAATAAATAACGCGGAGCCGGGGGAAGATGAGCAGCAGCCCCTGCGGAAGAGCGAGGAGAGGATGAGCGCTCGCCCTTCCCTGCTCCCGCCGCCCTTGCCCGGGCACCCCGGGGGGCTCACCCCGCGTCTGGGAAGCGCTGCGCTCTGCCGCTTCCCCCCGCCACGCCGAAGGACGCCGGCTCTGCTCTTCCTGCCGCTCCTGTCGGCGGGGACGGAGCCGGGCGGGTGGCGCTTGGCCCGACGGAGATGGGGCCGCGGGGGCTCTTGGGGGCGCAGTTCCCCTGCGCTGCGGGCGGCGGTGGCCGTGCTCGGGTCTGCCGGTACTACCGGGACTACCGGACTGCCGCTGCGGCCAGCGCTCCTGGGGCTGCCCCCGTTCCGGGACTGTCCCTGCTGCCGGGACCAGCGATGCTGCCGGGGCCGGGGCTGCCGATATTGCGGAACGACGGGGGATGCCGAGGGCACGGCCGGCGCTGCCCGCGCCGCTGGGCTAGCGGACTGACGCCGGTGCCGAGGCTCCTGGCACTACCCGCGGAGCCGGGAAGCAGGGAGCGAGGCGGGGGAAGGCTCTCACCGGAGGACGCTTCCCTCCCTTTGTGGATCTGAGAAGCAAACTTCAAAGTCGCCCCGACTGCTCGGCGGGGTACGGGAGGAGGGAGCGGCACCCCCGGGGAATGCCTCGGGGGACAGGCGGGGGCCCCTGGAAGGGCTTGGGGTGTCTTTGAGCTTTTTAGTGTTTTATTTTTCTGGGTTTGCTTTTGATGGGCTTTTTTTGGTTTGGTTTGGGTTTTTCCCCCCACTTTCTCTTCATTCCTCGCCACTCCCGAAATACGCATTTCCATCTGGGTGTAAAACACTGCCGAAAACGAACGAAGCCGGGATTTATAGTGGCAGACAAATATTATTCCTTGGAGGATACTTAAGGAAGTGGAGTTGCCGTAATTGCTTTCTTGATTTATTGTTTGCTGCTCGGGAAGAGAAAAGCGGCGACCGTACAACGTGTTGTTCCGATGTAAAACCAAATGGCCCATGGCTGAAAGGATTATAGATTTTTATCTCCAGAATATGTCAGGCACGAGCCCATATGTAGCAGCGGAGCCCTGAGGGTGCCTAGTGCTCTACACCCCGAGCCGGGGATGGGGTGTGGGGGCACAGTTCTCTGTGGGAGAGGAGGGGGTAAGGGCTGACACTTTTTGTTGTTGTCGTGTTAACGACACCGTGGAATGAGTTAGCTGGAGGCCCGCGGTTTTTCATCTATTTGAAAAACTAAAGTTCACCGCGGACTTTTCTGGGCTCCTCAACTCCTTACCCATCTCAGCTCCAAGGGGCAGGCGGGAGGGAGGTGGGAAGAAGTCCGGGAGATGCTTGCGTGGAGGCAGAGAGATTCAGCCGGGAAAAAGAGCCCCCACCAGAACCCAAATGCGTGTTCGGGCGCAGCTCGCAGCTCTTAGATGAGGTCGAGCATTGCCCCGAGGCAATGAGTGGGACGTGGCTTCTAGCAATGAAAATTTGGAGAAGTTTCCAGCTTGGGGCTCCCCGTAGTCCCGGGAGGATGTCTGTGCGTGAGCCCACGAAGAAAGGCTCTATCCACGCAGAAGGGGTCGTTGCACCAAAGCTGCCCTCGGGGTGGGGGGCAACAGCCCACCTCGAATGACAGCTCGGCCCCTGGGAGGGCAAAGGCGACAGGAGTCTTCCCCTACGTATTTCTCCCCATGCCTTCGAGTGAACAAGGGATCCGAAACTTTCTCCCCATTCCTATCAGATTAATTACTGTCATTTTGTCACTTCAGCTTTAACTTAGTCATGTGCAGCCTGGGAGCAGGAGAGATTTACAAACTATTTGTATATTATTGGCGTTTGGCGCACCCAGGGGGGAAAAATAATAACACCATAATCGTATCATTAGGCGATTTTGCATGTTTCTGGTAATTCTTCTGGAAGAAGAAGAGTATTTCAGTAATTCAGGAAGCGCTTGTTGTTTGGGACCTTTTTCTCTTTTTTTTTTCTTTCTTTTTTTTTTCCTTTTCTTTTTCCTCAGAAGCACCCACCGGGGGGGCTGCATAGCAAGCTCTGTAGCTACTGCCCTATTTTGGGGACAAATCACTGTTCCCAAACCCGGTGCATTCTAGGAGGAGTGGGGACCTAGTCCCTTCTGCAATTTTGCTTTTTCCTCGCCAAGGACGATGCTCAGGACGGTCAGGCTTCCTTCCAGCCATCCCTAGAACCTCCAAAAAAAGTGACCCCAAGCCCCATCTGTGCCCCTCCCCTCCACCCGCACTGCTACTGCCAGGAGGAGTCAGGGGACGGCGCCTGGCATCTCAAACCACCTACAAATGGTTAAACTCTGACGTGATGCCCTCGTCAGCATAACGGGGACACACGGGGACCTTCGCCAGTCCTGGACTTATGGGGAATTTGATCGTGGCGATCGGGAGTCTGGGGAGGGTGCCCACGCGTGAACCCCGGTGGAAAGACACTTCCCTAAACCCCTGACGGGGTGGGCACGGTTTGGTCCAGCTGGTTGGAGCATTCTCAGGGGGCTGTGATTCGGGCTCTGCAGGTCACGGCCAGCAGCAGAATGTGTGAGCCTTCATCCTTGGGGTAACACAGTTAGAAACTGCCCAAAACCTCCAGATTTCCTTTGTTTTCCCAGAAAAATGAATAGCAATTAATGAACAAACGAAGTGGTTGGAAGCTTGTTTCGGGGGTGTGCAGAAGTTTTCATGCACTTAAAACCCACCAAGCACAATTTAAATTTCTTTTTCTCCTTTTTTTTTTTTTTTTTACATAAACTTTGCACTTTCTAGCGCTACCACGTTGGTGGTAGGTGAGTCAATTTTAATTGAACAAATTGATGCATAAATAGGCTGTGGAGGTGTATGTTTCTATAGTAACAGCCAAGAAATTGCTTCTAAAAATAAAAATAGTTTTCTTATTTCCATTATTATTTTAATAAATAATAAACGCGATACGATCTTACAAAGGGGAGGAGTAGTAAAAATCTCTTGTTAATAAGGAGAAAATGTCCACCGAGAGACCCGCTGGGTTGTTATTTCTGAGCCCTCAGAGCAAATCACATCTGAAAATACACATCAGCCATGTCGATAGCGACTCAAAAGTCGCGATAGTAATGACAAAGATTATCAGTGCAGGTCTGTCTGTGCTGGACTCACGTGTAGCAGAGTGAGAAAAACTCGCTGTAAAAAGCATCGGTACAGGGATCTGGCGCTTTTTTTCTTTTTCCTCTGGTGTCTCAGCTTGAGGCACTTACCCAGCCCTATTCGGGATCTGTGAGGAAGGGTCTGCTCGGGAGCTATGGGGAAGGACATGGCTGTAAGCAGCAGAGCACATGTATCCCAGGGTGTGCTGCAGGAGACGAGCGTGGAGGGAAAGGTACGCCCTGATTTTCACAACCCCTTTAACTGGGGTTAAAAAAACTCTTCAAAGTAGATCATCCGCACACGTTTAGACCCAAACTTGCCCAGGGTAACCAGCTATGCTGCCCTCATCTCCGATGTCTGGGCTGGTCCTCCTAACCTGCAGGTTCCCAGCCCGGGCTGCGGGCTGCTCCCTCCTTTGTGTCGGGATGCTTAAACAGGTGTTACTTTTATTTTCCCCAAACTAATTATTCCTCCAGCGCAGTGCCCATTGGGAAAGGATTACGCAGGAGATGTGCCAGGCGAGCCAGGCTGCCGGCAAACGCCAGCCCTCGCAGGCAAAGGCATTGAGAGGTTTTGTTTGGGCTCGGTCATTAGAGCGGTAATGAAGGTTTCTCGTGTGCGAGGGGAGCGCCGCAGAGGGCAAACAAGGCCGGGGGGGCCCTGCCGCCGCCAGCCCGGCACTCGGGGCCTGAGGGCTGCCAGCGACGTGTGACGGGCAGCGAAACACGGGGGGAAAGTCGCAAACCTCGGGCATGTCACGACTGTCGCGAAGGGGGAGGAAAGAAGGGGAAGGGGAAGGAAAGGATGGAAGGGGAAGGAAAGAAGAGGAGGGGAGGAAAGGAGGGAAGGGGAAGGTTTGCCCTTGCCGCTCGCCCCCGGAGGCCGCGCTGCGGAGGGGCTGCGGGCAGGCCCGGTAACCGTGCCGTGTGTCCCCTGTGTCCCCGCAGGGGAAAAGCCCTTCAAGTGCGAGTTCGACGGCTGCGAGAGGAAGTTCGCCAACAGCAGCGACCGCAAGAAGCATTCCCACGTCCACACCTCGGACAAGCCCTACTACTGCAAGATCCGCGGCTGCGACAAGTCCTACACGCACCCCAGCTCCCTGCGGAAGCACATGAAGATCCACTGCAAGTCGCCGCCGCCCTCCCCGCCGCCGGGCTCCCAGGGCTACGCGGCGGCGGGGCCCCCCGACGGGCCGCTGCCCCCCGAGGCCGAGCCCGCCGCCGAGCCGCCCCGCGGCCGCCGCGCCGCGCTCTCCCCGCCGGTCACCGACCTCAGCGAGTGGTACGTCTGCCAGGCCGGGGGGGCTCCCCGCCGGCCCCGCACCCCCTCCAGCCGCGACACCTCCCCGGCGTCCGAGGAGGATGAGCCCCACAGGACCTCGGGAGGCAGAACTGCTCCCTAGGGCCGTGCCGGGCCGTGCCGGGCCGTGCCAAGCTGCCGGTGGCCCCGGCCCCACCGCACTGGGCCGGGCCGCAGGGGCGGCCACCTGGCACGGAGGGCTGCCGTGGAAGTGCCATCAGGTTTGACTCGCGCTATTTATTCCATGTACGAAACCCTATGGTGTTTGTATGGTAACTAATTTAATTAAAGAGACTCGGACCTTTTTTTTTTTTTTTTTTTTTTTTGGTAAATAAAAGCGTTAACAACGCCAGGCTGGGCTGTCCCAGTCACCCGAGCCGCACAATTTTGCAGGGGAACGGTGTCAACGGAGATGCCCATCTTCCACTCTGCCCATGCCCATTGCTCTTAACAAGATTAAGCTGGCGAAGGCTGCAAACAGGCAGAACCCAGCCGATCTCTGGAATGGCTCTTAGGTACCTTAGCTGCCACCCCAGAGCCTCCTCTGGCCTGGGTAAAGCCCCAGGTCAGCGGCAGCCTCTTGACTGTAAAGCAGCACCTGCTAAAGCTCCGGCTAGTCAAGGACAGGTTGTGCATCCCTTAAAAAAAAATGAAATAAATGCATTTCCCCACCCCTCTTGCAGTCCAGCTCCTTTGTAATTGAGGGTTTCTCACCCGAGTCGGGGGGTCCCACCTGCACCCGGCATTTTCTCTCCAGCCTGTCTTTCACCCTTAGCCGTAACATTGTGCAAACGGTTTACGAAAGGAAAGACAAAAGATGCAGGACTCCTTTTTCACTCCTCCACGGTTTGTACTTGTATGGCTCCTAGAACGTAGCCAGACAATAAAAGAAACACGCTGCTATTTGACAACTGCGATACTGTGATACATTTTTGAATTTTTTTCCCTAAAAAACCCACACGATAACTCTGAGAATTTTGCTTTCCTTGGGGTTGGTGTTATTATTACTCTGATTATAATTATTATTATTTTTAAAGTTCGTCTCTCAGATGAAGACTTTGCCTCATGCTCCCTCCAGCCCCCTGGGGGGTGGGGAGGGGGAGCAGCCCCCCGGCCTGACGAGTCCCGGAGTAGGGGGCAGGCACAGAGGGATTATCTTTTTATTATTATTTTTATGTATATTATTTCATCTCTCCAACCGAGCTGATGCCTGCGTGCTTTTCACCACCCCCCCGGAGTGGCCCGGCGGAGTCACCTGGGAGGTGGGGACCAGAGCTGCTGGGATGGAAGCCGGGCTGGGGACCCAGGCTGGGCTCGGGGTGCCACCCTCCCCAGCGCTCCCGGCAAGCCAGCCCTGCAGCCCAGGGCTGCGGCCACGGGGGACACCCCGGCCTGCAGCCCTGAGTCAGGAGCGGGGCGCAAATGAAGTAAAGAGCACTAATTCCTCCTCAGAGACCCCGAGAGAAGAAGCGGCAGCCTCCCTCCCCTCCCCCAGGGCTTGTGGAAATGTGTTTTGTGTGCCGTGAATGGTGGATGTCGTCTTGTCATTGTTAATAACGTGTATGTGAACGCGATTATTTTGTACAGTCAAATTAATTTATTTTCTGACATCCCCCTTTTTTCCCTTTTTTTTTTCTTTTTTTTTTTGACTCCCCTGTAACAGTACAGAGCACACCAAAGAATTATCTTATTAATTTTGGTGATAGATTGTTGTTTATGATGATGTGGTTTGTACAAAAAAAAAGAAATCATTATATTTTTCAGCTTACTTGAATGAACGATGTAATGTGAAACAGACTCTTCCTGCATGTCCTCCGTGCGGTGTGTTGGTGCTGATAATATATAAATTTATGTATAGTTCATAGAGATATTATATTATTAGTACAGTGCATGGTGCTGTCACTCTGGAAGCCTTTAAACGTTGTCTTCATATTGTTGTGTTTGATCTAAAGAAGCAGGCGTTACTTTGAAAACAAACAGAAAACTTGAATAGAAAATAATTTTTTAAAGCTCATTCAATTTGCTTTTTATTCGTTTTTCAAAGCCCATTTGAATAAATAGAAAATAATAAAGTGAGGTATGAACTTTTTAAAAAATAATTTATGTAATGTAATCTTATTAGAGATATATTGGTGCTGATTTATAACCGAACTTTTTAATTTATGCATTTTTTCAATAACAGATTGCACTATACATTACGACATGGCAGGGTTTATAAACTATGGCTCGGGGGGATATATCACTATTTTTATGTATTTGCTACACGTAGGGTCACACACTTGCCCAACAGTTTTATGACACATGATACCTCCTAAATAATAATAAAAAATGCTAATTTAAAACTTTTCATCTCTGTAAACCCCATAAAAACAAACAAACAAAAAAAAATCATGCAAATGAATAAAAATATTATTCCTATGTATTGCATGTGCCTTACTAACAGACAAGGGGCAGAGACAGACCAAAACACCCCCTGATCCCCCCGAGGGTCAGCAGGTAGATGCAGAGCCAGCCGTGGCCTCCCAGCTCGGCAGGAGCAGCACCGGGAGGTGTTGGGGCGGCTGAGACCCTCCGGCTCTGCCCGGAGAATCGTGTGAGCAAACAGGGCTCTCCTCGGGGGTAGCCCTGGCTCTGCAGCCCGGCAGAGCAGGGATGCTCGGGCACAGCCAGCCCTGCTCCCCCGGGGCTGCGGCCTCGCTCCTGGCGGTGTTTGCCCGTGAGCCGGGCCGAGGGCGGGGGCGGGCAGAGCATTTTGGGGTGCCTGGGCACGATGGAGCAGCTGGGGGCTCTGCTGCTGGCACCCCGGGCACAGAGGGAAGAGAGGGAGGGACAGGCAGACAGAGATGCGACACAGGTCAGACATTGACACACATGACATTCTTCATCTCTCTCAAGGACGGCTAATCGGAATATAAAACCTAATCAATTAAAATGTTTGTTTTTGTTGAGGAAAAAAAACCAAAACGACGACAACAACAGCAGCAACAACAAAACAACAACAAAAAAGGGAGATTTTCCTGGCAGTATTCTCTTGAGGGTATTCATGAGTTAAATAGCACTACTCTTCGGTAGTAGCTAAATAAGCGAAACCGTATGCCAGAAGATGATTCTGAAACACAGAGTGAGGTCAGACAAGAAATAACGCCAGGAAATCATGGAATGAAGGAGGAGAAAAACCCCGAAGTTTTCAGAAGCTGAGTGAGGACAGGTTTCTCATTTAGAGAGAGGGAAACTGAGTAAAACCCGTGAAAAAACCGGACGGAATCGTGTGTTGGCATCCTCCAGGATTATTTCCTCTTTTAATTTTCTTTTTTAATAAAATAAATTAAATTAAACTAGCCCAGAGTGATTGCGCCCCCGCCCCGTAATTTACCAGTACTCGAAAATGACTGGTCAAAATGTCAAGAACAGTTTCACCAAAAGGTTAGAGTGTTTTTTAAGTCAGTTTTGTTAAATGTGGTAAAGGTGAAACAGGTTGCAAAGAGTTGTTTCAAGCAGAATGACAATAACCAACATACGAAGCAGAAAAACACTCATAAATGAGGGCTCCAATCAATGGGAAAACTTATAGCTCCCTAATGAAGTTTCTTGTGAAAAGGAGGGCGACACAAAGCCACCGAGACATGAATCATTCATGGGAAATATAAAAGATAAAAGATATCTGACAATGAGCAGAACCTTGTATAGAGTGTCTAAAACAAGTTTCCCCTTCTTATTTTCTGCTTCCCCCCCCTCCAACCTCCCTCTCCTAGTGTTCCCTGCCCGCCCTATAGAGTTAACATTGACCAGTGCACGTCCTGCCCCACTTCAAAGTAATTTAGCCCAGAACGGAAGGCTTGGCGCTTGGACAATCTTCATGGTGTGTTAGGATTTCTATGGCAATTGGCAAGCAAGACGTTCCCATCTGAATATGGCTCAAAGAAAGCCACTTATTGACACCGAGTTGGCCATCATCAAAGACTTCATCTTTTCCTAGGCGAAACGTGGTCCTAGCAAACACTGTTTAAATCATCTACCTTTGTAGTCGCGGCTGGGAGACATCTCGCCACACACTATTGCTGGCGCTCGGCCCTTTAAAGGCGAGAGCGGCTCTAGCGAAGTTTGAAGGGACTGAGAAATTTCGGGAGTGTGGGAAATGGCATTGCGGGGAGGGGGGCTGTGGATGTGGATAAGCGGGGAGCTCTCGGCGACAGTCGCGCCCAACGCGCCCGCCACGGGCAGGGTGTGGGACGCAGGGCAGCCGGGACAGGCTGCTGCTTTGTTTTCCGAGGGAGGGATGGTGGGGAGAAGCGAGGATTTTCAGGGGTTTTCTCCGCGTGTTTCGTGCTGCTGGAGATGTCGCCAGGGAGTTGCGAAGTGCTGGCAAGGACGGACTGTCACACACTTCCCCCCCGCCCCTTCCCCCTCCGTCACCCCGGAAAAAAAATATTTTCGGGTAGAGCAGCCCGGGAGGGATGGGGAGTGCCCGGGATGCACAGTGCTGCTCACACGCGGACACACACGCTCCCCCTGGCCCGGACACCCCAAGGCGGCGGGGCGCTCCCCCCGCACCCCGCGCACCCTCGGCGCGCACAACCACGCTCCCGCATTCACACACACACCACGCAAGTGCCTAATCAGGCAGGGAGAAGTTCAAAGGCAGGTTCTTTGAAATTCAAACTACTGCTTTTATGGTACATCAACATGGAGCGTTAGGATTGCTATGGCAATGAGCGCAGCAAAAGCAAGCTGCATTTAAAATAGTCCACCTCGATTCGAGACACTCTATTAAGATACAGTTGCAGTGACCTTTAGTTTCATGCCGTGTTAGCGCAGTCAATTTTCACTTCATCAGAACGTCTCATATTTTTTGGCCTCTCTCCCAACGACCATCCCCCTCCCCTTTTTTTTAGGACCCCCTCCCTTCCCAACTTCAGCAGATAAACAAATAAGTGAGGAAGAAGCTCCATCTCCAGCTCTTCTCGTCTTCTGCCTCCCTCCTTTTTTTTTCCCCACCTAAGTACTTTTATTTGCAGAGCGATTGTTCTTTGTTTATTTAATACAAGTACTGTGTGAATGGTGAAAAATAAACACGATGAAAAATAACCAAACAGATGATTCCGC